AAACAAGAGTTTCAATCCCTGACCGATCCCAAACTCTCAGTGGTCGGCTATTGGAGGAGTGGGCCACTCTTCCCTCGCTCGCTGGTCAGGGGGTCGAGAGAAGGTTACATCCTTGCTTGAGAAGGAACGGAAACTTTTTACGAAGCTGAGTGGACACCCTGAAGGGACAACTCTGACATGGGCAACCCGTAAGGCCTGTTATTTGTCGATCCTCAAGGCATTTCCTCGTGTAAGGAGGAATGGTGAATCCTTCATGATGTTATTTCAAGCTGTTCGCTCAAGCCAGAGTTATGAGGAAGTTATGGATGTACTCTCTCGTCATGCCCATAAGTCCGGCTATAAGGGAGCCAATGAGCTCCTCGGGATGTGGGAGGAGGACAGGTCTGATCGCCTAACAGCCTCTACGGGTCGCCGAGACCAACGAGACTATGATATACCAAGACCTAAGTTTAAGTCTGGTTCTCATCGTCAGGCCAAAGACAACCATGGAAAAGAGTCTATTCCTCGAGCCATGCTATCCTCTAGGGCACCTAAAACTACTGGTGGTGGGCAAAAGCGACCAGTATCCTTCTTTGATCCTGAGAACACAGGACCACCGAGGAAGAGAACAAGAGTTACTGCTGTTGATCATGCCAAGGCTCATGGAGTATCTGAGTCACTCGCGAAAGAGAGGCTAGAGAAGGGCCAGTGTGCTATCTGCGGCTCAGCAGATCACTTCGCTCGGAGATGTCCGAGGAACTCGCAGACCAATGTCCACGACCGTCCAACTGACGATTCCAAGGGTGAGCGTACTGAGACGGCCCTACTAACCCTGGGTAAGGCCGAAGTTCTGGCTGGGACAGTTGAGGTATCACCTACTAACAATGACCCGGGAACAACTTATGTTACCCATGCTCGGGCTGGCTTTGATACCATGTGTTCCCAGAATCTCGTTTCCAGGGGGTTGGTATCTATGCTTAAAGTCACTCCTACCTCAGGAGAATGTGTTAAGCTTCAAACGGCCGGTGGGGCTAGGGAGGCACAAGAATGGGTCACTCTAACCGTAAAACGTCCTGGCTTCCAAGTCCAGCTACAACTATTGGTGGTAGACTCCCTACCTGAGATAGATCTGTTGGTGAGAAAGGCGGACCTTCCATCCCTCGGGTACCAAATTATCGATCATGCCCCTCAAGAAGAGCCCGCTGATCCGGTTACTCGAGCTCAGAAAGCCTTGGCTGACTGTCTGGATGTTTGGATCCCCTTACCTGGTGCACCAAAGTATCGTTCGCGCTTACGGCGCCTCCGTGCGGGAGAACATAAAGATGACCCCAAACAGATCTATGTGTTTGAGATTGATTGGGACGATGTTCGACTGGAAGGCAAACGGTTGAATGAGTACCAACGCTTTTCGCGGAGGGCTAACATCGATTACAGCGTACCTATGCTCAATCGTCTTTCGGCGGAAGAGACTAGTAGCTACACAGAGGAGCTGAACGGCATGATCGATCGACGGTGGTGGCTGGAAGGGGAACCCTCAGCTGATGAAACGCCGCTTGACCTACCATGCTGCACTTTCCCATTATCCCAGGGTACACACAAGAGTACTCGAGTCAGGTTATGCAGTGATATGCGAGGTCCAAATTTATGTCTACCAGCGGCAAGCTATAGTGGCCACAGTGTTCCCGAAGTACTGGGTACACTCCGTGCCCGGGTCCAGCCAGGGGACCACTTGGAGCTGCTTGACCTCCAGAAGGCCTTTTATAAGTTGAGGCTGGCGGGCCGTCGCTGTGTGCGAATTAAGACCGCGGGTCGCAGCTTCCATTGTAATCGAGTGGTCTTCGGAATTCGCTGCGGCCCGGCGGCGCTTGCTGCCCAGGTGACTCTCTTGTTGAACTGTGCCTACACCGGATTACTGGGCAGAGCTGTCTGCCGGCGAGACACTAAGGAGTTTCTGGATGTTGGTGGTGGTGTATCAGCCCTCCCATACTATGACGATATAGCTCTCTTCGGCTCCAAAGACGGAGTGGTTGCACTCCGCGATATCCTGGTCGAGATAGCCCCCTTAATGGGTGCAGCATGCCCGCCGGAGAAGCGTGATACTATCCCTGTACCATCTCAGAAGGAACAGTCTGTGGAACCCGTTCGCCATATGGGAGTGTTCTGGTCTCGCGCTGAGGATGGTCGGCTGCTTCTTCAATGCGTGGATAGTGGGGGCGTTACACTGCCTGACACCAATAGCATTTCACGCCGG